TCTTTTTTCGAAAAGATTTTATGTGAAAAATTAAAGAAAACATTATTTTTAGCTTCAAAAATGATTTTGGTTGACTACGGTCAACATTTTGTGTAAACGATCTAGATCGGCATTTTGACGATCCTGATGGGTCCATATCATGATTTTGGACTTTTGGTATGCCCGAAATTAAATTCGAAAGTCCCTAACTTAATTTGTTGAATACTAGTAACTTGAAGGTTTTAAGATTTTCTAGGTTTGACCGTAGGTTGTCTTTATTACAACCGGGTTCAGATTTCAGTTTCGGAACTTGGTATAGGTTCATTTTACTGTTTAAAACTTGTCTGCAAAATTTGGTGCAAAACGGAGTTGATTTGATAGGATCTGGATGCTCGATTGTGAATTTGAAAGTTCTTGAGTTTCTTTAAAAGTTTCATGCATTTTGATGTCTAATTCGTAGTTTTAGATATTATTTTGGTGTTTTGATCGTGCGAATGAGTTCGTATGATGTTATTACACTTGTGTACATGTTTGGTTTGGAGCCCGAGGGGGTCAGGTGAGTTTCAGACGTATTTCGGATGAGTTTGTATTGTGCAAAGATTGTTGGTGCAATGCCTAGTTTTGGTGTCTGATGCAGATCTCGCATTTGCGAGGTCTGGCTTACATTTGTGGACAAATATTCGCATATGCAAGCAAGGTCTGGGATTGGGTAACCTCGTATTTGCGAGGAAATGGTTCGCAATTGCGAATAACACATGATCGCTTTTGCGATCATTTGGTCGTATTTGCGATACCTGGCAACATTAGAGTATCTTCGCAATAGTGAAGATTGTGGTCTCAATTGCGAAGGTGGGATCTTCGCATTTGCGTTCATTCTGTCGCAATTGCGACTTCTGGGCTTCTGAGCTAGTGCTCGCATTTGCGACCCTTGTCTCGCATTTGCGATGGTTGCAATTGCGAACAAGATATCACAATTGCGACATCTGAAGCTGGGTAAAAGTGGGGGGAAACGGGAAACAAATCAGTTTACACCATTTCTCAACCCTAAATACTCTATAGGCAATTTTCCAAGATGTTTTTCTTCCCAAATTCATTGGTAAGTAGATTCCATGTCTATAGGGCCTGAATTGATTAACTATTTGGCTGTTTTTGTTGTTCGTATCACTCTACCGCCTAGATAACATGCCTATAGGAACAATCGTGATAAATCTGCATTCAAATACCAACTATTAGAGAACCTGCCTATAGGATACTGCTACTCGCTTAGAAAGCATGCCAATAGGATCAAAATTGAGAAATTCTGAGTTTTCCAAGGGCTTCACTGCCCCAAGCTCAATCATTTAGAGATCATGTCTATAGGCTTTCATAAAGCTTGTAATATGTAATTTCGATAATATGGACAACAGAACTACCCATGAGATGTTCTTAAACTGTGTGGTCATATAGAAGCGATGCCTATAGGTTTTTAAAAAATTCCAATATATCTCGATTCCAAAACTGCTTATTACAGAATCTGAAATCTGTTTGCGTGCTTTTATTGTTTATGTGTGGAGGCTAACTTGAGCCATTCACTGTCTTTATGTGTAGTCCTACTTGTTTTGAATGTGCGCAAAGTTTTATCATTTTGAGCACCCTAAGTAAAGTCTAGAACCACACGAATAGTAGGTCCAAAGCCTCCTAGACCATAAGCCTGGGACGGGTAGTGCACGCTTAGGACATGACTTAGAATTGAACTAGAGCGCTTTAGGTAAATAATTTTAACATAGTAATTGGGTAGCATGAGATGATAGTCTGTGACCGCTGAATAATACGAGTAACCCCTACCCTAAGGGAGTTGCGAAGTATTATTTATGTTGCATGGGGTGATCCTTTAGGCTAAAAAACTTAGGACCCCCCACATTTATGTTTGTTACTCATGCTTGTGTTTCTTTAAACTTAGAACAAATTAGCTTGTTTTATATCATAGTTGAACATTTATATTCCATGTCTTCCTTCACTTACATGATCACATAGGACAATTATAATTCAATAATCCCACATAGCATTAATATTGGTCGGGACCCATAGTTGTAGACCTCGAAGAGTACCTGACACATTCTCTTCGAGGTAATTGGATCCCTTACCCGATCATTGATAGCACAGACTAGTTAAAACAGATTTATTTGCATATAGGTGCCTTAACGCACCTCAAAAATATTAGGTGGCGACTCTTATCCTTTAATACCTCCATTAAAAGAGTTGTCACACGTCGCAACCTGCTTTCACGAGAAAATGGGGTGCGATATGCGCAGTCCGTATTATTTTTCGAAACGTTTTTAAGTAAAAATGTGAAGAAAATATGATTTTTATTTTTAAAAATAACTTGAGTAGACTACAGTCTATATTTTAGGTAAATAACCCTAAATTAGTATTTTGACAATTTTGGTAGGTCCGTATTATAATTTTAGACTTGGGCATATGTCCGGAATTGAATTTGGAGCTCCCTAGGTTGATTTGACTTATTTTGTCGAAAGTTAGCAATTTGAAAGTTTGGAAATTTTCTAAGTTCGACTGTGGGTTTAATTTATGGATATTGGGTTCAAATTTTAATTTTGGGACTTGGTATAGGTCCGTTTTGATATTTGACACTTGTTTGCAAATTTTTGTGCAATTCAGAGTTGGTTTGATAGTATTCGGACGCTCGGTTGTGATTCTAGAGGTTCTTGAATTTTCTTTTGAATTTCATGCATTTTGATGTCCGATTCGTGGTTATAGATAATATTTTGGTATTTTGATCATGCGATCAAGTTTATATGATGTTATTTCACTTGTGTGCATGTTTGGTTTGGAGCCCGAGCGGCTCGTGTGAGTTTCGGATATGCTTCAGACCATTTGAACATGTAAAAACTGTTGTTTCTGATGTCTGGTGCGTTGTGCTTTGCGATTGCGAAGCTTCTCTTGCGATCGCAAAGGGGAAGTTTTGGTCTGGGACTGGATTGTTCATCACAAACGCGAAGCGAAGGGGGGAGGGCTTACCCTTTGCGAATGCGACAAGCGTTCGCAAACGAGATTTATTGGGGTGACCTGGGGGGAGGTAGTTGTGGTCTTCATCGCGAACACGGACCTGGGGACGCGAACGCGAAGGCATGCTGGGAATAAGACTTTGCGAATGTGAAGTAGACCTTGTGAACGCGAAGGCCAATTGTGCAAGTGAATCACGAAAGCGTCAAGTGCTTCGCGAATGCGAAGAACACCTGACGCCCAAGTATTTAATGTGCTGAAAGTCGGGGTTGAAACATTTTCCACCATTTTTGAAAGCTAGAGCTCGGCCTAGAGGCAATTTTAAGGAGATTTTTCATCCCTACTTTATTAGTTAGTGAATTTTCACTTGTTTTATTATATTTCTATAATCACCATTGATTTTAACCTTTAATCTAGAATTTTTATGGTAGAAATTCAAAATTTGGATAGAAATTGAGTATTTTGTAAAATTGAGATTTAGACCTCAAATTGAGGTCAGATTTTGAAACCAATCACATAACCGGGCTCGGGGGTGAATAGATAATCGAATTTTGGTCCAAACCTCGGGTTTTGACCAAGCGGGCCGGGATTGACTTTTGTTGACTTTTTCTAATTTCATCAAAGATCAAATCTTTTTCACTCATGGGTTAATTATAAAGTTTATTCTGAATTATTTGAACTATAGTTGGCTAGATTTGACCGGTTTGGAGTCTAATTCTAAAGGAAAGGCCGGGGTTGAGTGGTGATTTTATTGCGGAAAGAGGTAAGTGTTGTGCCTAACTTTGACTTGAGGGAATTAAGACTTTATTGGTTTAATTGCTACTTGAGTTTTGTGTGGGGATGACGTATATGCATGGTGACGATTGTATATGCATAGTCGCGGATTAAGCATCAGTGAAATTAAAAGCGCGCTTAAAGCGCGCAAAAGCGAGGCGCACAAATACTTTGTCACTCTGCGTGACCTCAAGTGAGGCGCGTGTGTCAGAAGACCTTTACATTCCTTTTTTAAAATTATAATAAGTTAGTCGTTACAGTTTCATAGACCATATTTATGGCAAATAGCAAGGGAAATATGAAAAAATTAATTAAGGGAGCAAATCAGATTTCCCAAAAAATTAAGAAAAGAGAAGATAATGGAATTATAAGAAGACTAGAGGAGTTGAAGGAATACAAGAAAAAGACAAAATTGAACAACTGCAGCGGGACAAGCCTCTATCACAGGTATTCTTCTCTTCTCTGTTTCTTTATCTCTTATACTTTTTGTATGCCTCTCTCTCTTCTACTCATTTGTTTTCTTCTTTTACTCCTTTGTAATAAGAGATAAAGACAAGAAGTCTCCATTAAAGATGAGAGTTGACTGAGTTGACTTTTTCTTGTAATTACATTTTTTGTTATTTTTCCTTTTGGTAAAGTGAATAAATTGGTAAAGCTAGAAAATAAATAGGTTTGGTGCTGAAATTTTATAGTTAGTCCTTTTTGTCTTTGTAGAAAATTTGTAGAACTAAATGGGACACTTGTCCTCGTTTGATGATTGATGTTATCTAACTTTTATATAACTATCACTATATATGCAACACTGTAAAGAGACTAAGAGAGGATAATAATAAAGATACAAATAGTGGACTCAACACTTTCTTAGAAGTAATGGCATAGTGGTGGACCCCAGTGGTGCTCACCTTTATATTCTTGTTGTATGTTGTATATCATTATTTAACAATTATAATTACATGCAAATGTCATAATATTAATTTATTTTATTTCAGAATTAAATGGCAGGGGATCTGTCTACCTTATATTTTTGTTGTATATTATTATTTTAAAATTCTTGTTGTATATTATTATTTAAAAATAATAATAGCATGCAAAATGCATTACGTATTAATTTTTAAGTAGATTTTAGAATTATAAATGACAGAGGACTGTCCAGCTTTGTGTTCTTATTATGTATTACTATTTGAAAATTATAATTGCTCGCAAGATGCATTATATATATTTTTTAATTTTTTTTTTCAAAATTAGAAATGGCAGAGGACTTGTCCAAAGGCAATCGAAGGGATACTGGCTGGAAATATAATCATTTGAAGGATCCTAATGACACTACAAGAGTCACATGCAATTTTTGTGAAAAAATTACCACTGGTGGAATTAATCGGGCAAAACAACATTTGATTAGAAACTTTGGGAATGCAGCAAAGTGTGCAGAATGCCCACAGGAGGTTAGAGAGGAATTGAAAAATTACATGGAGGAGAAAAAAATAAGAAAGGAAGTCTATACTAACGAATTTTTTGGACTTGATGAGTTTGATTATCAAGATGATGTTGGTGGAGAAGATGAAGTCCACGAAATCATTCATAAGAAAAGAGGTGGAGGAAGCTCACCTAGTGGCTCTAGTAAGAAATTGGCCAAAGGAAAGGGACCCATGGATATGTTTCTACAAAAGTAAGGAACACTTAGGCAAACAAATATCAAAGATTCATGTGATACAGAAGCAAAAGCCATGACAATTCAAAAAGTTGCTCGCTTCTTTTACGATAATGGGATCCCATTCAATGTTGCTCGCTCAAAAAGTTTTAAGGAAGCAGTTGAGGCTATAGGAAGGTATGGTCCAAACTTGAAGCCTCCAAGATCCCACGAATTAAGGGTTTCGTTACTTAGGAAGAAGGTTGAGTTAACTAATGAGATTATAAACAAACATAGAGAAGAATGATTGAAGTATGGATTTTCGACTATGGCGGATGGATGATCAGATAGAAAACAAAGAAATTTGATAAACGTTTTGGTGAATTCTCCGCATGGAACAGTGTTTATGGAGTCAATAGATGCTTCCTCATTTGTTAAGACCGGAGAAAAACTATGTGAATTGCTTGATAGATATGTGGAGCGTATTGGAGAGCATAATGTGCTTCAAGTTATAAGTAATAATGGTAGCAACTTTGTGTTGGCCGGTAAGAATTTATTACTTTAAATGTTTAAGTTTTATGTTTTACTTTCTAATATCGATTCAAGGTTCTGATTCCTAAATTTTAACATATCTATTTACTTTTTTTTATAGGTCAACTCTTACAGAAAAAAAAAAGAAGAGACGCCATGTGCAGCGCACTGTATAGATCTTATGTTGGAAGACATAGAGAAGATTCCAAACATTAAGAAAGCCCTTCAAAGAGCAATTGCCCTTGTCGGTTTCATTTATGGGCACTCAGGAGTCTTAAATATGATGAGAGATTTCACAAAAAATAAAGAGTTGGTAAAATTTGGGATTACTCAATTTGCAACGAGTTTTTTTGACTTTGCAACGATTGCACTGTCAAAAACTAATTTACGAGCAATGTTTACATCTGACAAATGGGTGATTAGTAGATGGTCTAAGTTACCAAAGGGAAAAAGTGTAGCTCATACCGTTTTGATGGCAACATTCTGGAACCAGGTTGTGTATATTTTGAAAATAATAGGGACTCTTGTTAAAGTGTTGTGATTAGTTGATAATGAGAAAAAACCTGCAATGGAGTATATTTATGAAGCCATGGCTAAGGAGGCTATTGCAAAGGCATTTGACGGGAATATTGCAAAGTATAAAGATATCTTTAAGATTATTGATGAAAGATGGCAATGGCAATTGCATCATCCATTACATGCAGCTGGACATTATCTAAATCCAGAGTACTTCTATCAAACTTTAGCTATTGAAAATTGTAGAGAAGTAACAGATGGACTGTACGCTTGTATTGAAAAATTGGTTCCAAGCATTGAAGTACAAGACAAGATTATATCTGAGATACCACTGTACGCTAAAGCTGAATAACAATTTGGCTTTTCGATTGCAAAAAGATGTAGAACGACAAGATCTCCTGGTAACTGAAAATATTAACCTTTAAATTCTCAATTATTAGTTTATATTTAAAATTTTACTTAATACTTGCATAGTTCCATTAACTTAGAAATAATGATGGTCAATATAACACTTTTTACAGTTGAACAGTAAAATTTATATGGTAATTCAGCTCCTCATCTCCAAAAACTAGCCATTAGAATTTTGGGTTTAACGACTAGTGCTGCTGGGTATGAGCGTAATTGGAGCGTATTTGAGCATGTAAGTACTCATAATGGTATACTTCTTATTTATTTTCTTTGCTTAGTTAATCAATTAGACTATATCACTAATGTTACGATATTCCATGCAACAGATCCATACCAAAAAAAGAAATAGATTGGAGCATCAAAGATTGAATGACCTAGTGTATGTCAAGTATAATCATGCTTTAAAAGCCCATTATGACTTGCGTAGTGTTATTGATCCAATCTCATTGGATAACATTGATCATAGCAATGAGTGGCTGGTTGGAAAGATGGGTGTTAAGAAGGTTAGTTGGTGTTTGGTGATGATAGCTTGACTTGGGGTGATGTTGCAAGAGCGTCGGGTAATGAGAACGCATTGACATATACAAGGCGACAAAAGAGACAGTCAGGAGATATTGCAGCCAATGCCTCAAGCTCCCGAGCTCCACGTATTGAGTCCATTGACATAGAAGATGAGATTTTTTCTGATGAGTCAGGGGAAGAGGAGATTGGAGGCTATAGTTCTAGTGACACCAATGAGAATCACTCTATTGAGGAGGATTATATGGAGGAATATTATTTTAGTGATTAGAAGTGGAATCTAGAATGAGTTTATCTTTTCTTATTAAGATTTAAGTTGATAATTTGATGAAGTTTTACTTCATTATAAGCAATATATATTTATTATTTATGTGTCTATTATGTTCTCTAAATATTAGATATATATATATATATATATATTTAAAAAATTCTTCATAGTGCGCTTTTTATCAGTGAAGCCCACGCTTTAAGTGCGCTTTGCGCTTTAAGCTCCAATAGGGCTTTAGCGCTTTTTGCGCTTTTCGCTTTTGACAACACTGAGTCTGATAGGAGCTGATGGTGCACTGTAGGCTGGCAGCCCAGAATAAGACACATAAGGATCACGACCCCCAGAAGCACTGTGAGATGCCTGAAGCGCTGAATGAAATGGCCTTGGATGATGGTCTCTACCAAAAGCACCCCTGCCTCCAGATGAGGCACCGCTGAAACTACCAAAATGATAGAGCCTCTTATCTCACACCGGCCCCATCTCCTGAGCACGAACCAACTCGATTCGTCTGGCAATATCTACAACCGTCTGGAAGGAAATATCACTCCATGTCTCCTTGGCCATTTGAAGCCTGAGAGTGTAAGTGAACCCATCAATAAATCTCCTCGCTCGCTCCATATAAGTAGGAAGCAAGATAGTGGCATGGCGAGCTAAGTTCACAAATTGAGTCTTGTACTGGGTGACAGTCATACCATCTTGTTGAAGTCGCTCAAACTGCCTGCGATACTGCTCTCTCAAGGTGACATGGATGAACTTCTCTAGAAATAGGTGTGAGAACTGATCCCAGGTAAGTGCAGGCGACCCAGTAAGAAAGAAGTGACATTTTTCCTAAACTCCATAGCCTCTGAAAGATAAGTATATACGTCTCTGTACCGATCCTCCAGACTCTACTAAGCTTGCTCGTGACTCGTGAGACCTAGACAACCTAGTGCTCTGTTACCAACTTGTCATGACCCAGAAATTCTGCCCTCGGGACCGTGATGGAGCCTAACATTTCACTTGCTAGGCAAGATAACGTTAGAATAGTTTATCCATGTTTTTAACAGTTCAGATTAAATAATAGTAAAGAAACCAAAATAATTGAAATAAATCTGAAGTAAAGTGCGAAAAACCATAACAACTGAAGTATCTAATACAACCCCGAATCTGATATCACAAGTGCACGAGCTATTAAAATACTACAGATAAAGGTCTGAATAAAAGTAAAGATATCTGAAAAAAAATACACAGCTAAGATAAAGTAGGAGGGGACCTCAGGGATACGAACGTCGAGCAGCTGTACCTCAAGTTTCCACACTGATAGTCAACCCGAGCAATCTACTGACTGCTGCTGGGACCGACTTCAAAATCTGTACAAGAAGTGCAGAGTATAGTATGAGTACAACCAACCCTATGTACTCTGTAAGTGCCGAGCTTAACTTCGACGAAGTAGGGAGGAGGCTAAGGCGGGGTCACTTACAATGTAACCTATACGCATTATAAAATAATGACAGGAAAGGAAAATAAGGAAACGAAATAAGGCAGATAACTCATGAAAATAACTCAATCTTTAAAGAAAAATCAGTAAATGCCAAAAATACCAATCCCTAGAGTCTCTTATGAAAGTACCGAAGCCAACACAACACAATAAGAAATAGAAATACATAAAATATTGCGGTGCGCAACCCGATCCCATCATACAACACTATCCTCCCTTATTCCACCATATAAATATCAATAATAATAAGAAAATATATGTTACGGCACGCAACCCGATCCCATCATACAACACTATCCTCCCTTATTCCACCATATAAATATCAATAATAATAAGAAAATATATGTTACGGCACGCAACCCGATCCCACAATATCAATATAAAGTCACTCTTATTTTACCATATAAATCCACCCTTCTTTCACCTATTGCGGTACGCAACCCGATCCTACCATATCAATATAACTACATCAATAAATGCAATCGATTTAACAACTCGAATCACAAAAATCTCTACGATTAATGAATATGAAAACTACACAACAAGAAGGAATCTCGTACCAAATCATGAAAAGTCACGCTTAATACTGAGCAACAAGACAGTCAAATATATAACAGGTAAAGAGGTACAAGTAATACAATTAAGGCAAATGTCAATTAAGCATAGAAGCATGAGAGAAATTAACATTTTATGATGCGAGGATAATAAATGACAAGTATCAAGTTAAGGCATGGGAATCAATTAAGGCATGTAACAATCAAGACATGAAATACTATAATTAATGAAGTATGGCTAGACATGTAAAGAAGTAATTGACGGCATATACACACTCATCACCTCGCATATACGCCGCTACTCATGTAATTCACATAACACATAGCATCAAGGGTTGCTAATTCCCTCAAGTCAAGGTTAGACTCAAATTTCAATCACGGTCTTGCCTTTTGAATAAGCCTCCAAACCGACCAAATATAGTAAATTATTGATCAAACGATTTAAAATAAGCTTTAGAAACTACTCACGAATGGAAGTGGTTCAATTTAGATCATTATTGAAAACGTCAATAAAAGTCAATCCCGGGCCCACTTGGTCAAAACTCGAGGTTCGAACTCATTCACCCCCAAGCCCGGTTATACAATTCAATTTGTAATCCGACCTCAATTCGAGATCTAAATCTTAATTTTACAAAAATCTCTAATTCTACCCAAATCCCTAATTTCTACCATGAAAACCCTAGATTTAAGGTTGAATTTCTTATGGAAGGTAATGGGTAATTGAAAAAAAGTAGATTAGAGTCACTTACCAATGAATTTAGGAAGAAAAGCTCTTGGGAAAAACGCCTCTAAGGTGTTTAGGGTTAAGAATAAGCAAAAATCCCGTCTTTCACAACTTTTGACCTGGTGCAGATTGCGACCTGGGATTCGCATTGCGAATGCGAAGGTTTCACACCTCTGTTGCCATTGCAAATGCGAATAATTTGTTCGCAATTGCGAACATGATACTATCGCAAATGCGACAGAAATCCTGGAAATGCGATAACCACAGTCCTTGCCCATGCTCGCAAATATGAAGTGTCCTTCGCAAAAGCGAGGCTCACATTTGCGAGCTAGACCTTGCATTTGCGAAGTCTGCAGTCTAGCACCAGATGAAACTTGTACCAGCTATGATTCTAAGTTTAAAACCACTCCGAAGCCTATCTGAAACTCACCGAGCGCTCGGGGCTCCAAACCAAACATGCACACAAGTCCAAAAAAATCATACAAACTCGCTCCCGCAATCAAAACACCAAAATAATACTTAGAACTATGAATCGGACACCAAAGTAAATGAAATTTTCAATGAAACTTGAGAACTTTTAATTTTTCAACTGGACGTCTGAATTACCTCAAATCAACTCTGGTTTGCACCAAATTTTTCAGACAAGTTATAAATACAGTAATGAACTTATACCAAGTTTCGAAACCAAAATCCGGATCTGATAGCAACAAAGTCAAACTTTGGTCAAACTTATTAATTCTTTAAACCTTTAAGCTTCTAGTTTTCAATAAATTGCGATAATTCGAGTTAGGGACTTCCGAATTCGATTCCGGGCATACGCTCAAGTCTTAAATTACGATGTGGACCTACCGGGATCGTCAAAATATTGATCCGGGTCCGTTTGCTCAAAACGTTGACCGAAGTCAACTCAAATTAGTTTTAAGACACGATTTCATATTTTTGTCAATTTTTCACATAAAACTCTTTCGGAAAAAGACACAGAATGCGGACGCAGATCGAGAAAGACTAAAAGGATCTATTCAGGGTTTCGAAACACATAATTGAGGGTTAAATCTATAAATAACCTATCGGTCATCACATTTTTGCACAATACTTTCTCACGTTACTTCTTCTAGACTTAGAGTTGGTCAACAGACAACAAGTGTGACCTTAATGCCGGCTCAATGATTGTACATGTCCCAAATAAAAATACCTTTGTTCATGATTTCAGTATCATTGAGAAACATAGTGTTGAAGGGAAGACTTTGCCACTAATCAGAAGATATATATAAGCTAGTTATCTCCAGTAGCAGTTGTTTCAGAGCTTGCTGTATTGTTTCTCTTCATAGTTTTGAATCCTAAAGCCATAGTTTGAACTTAATGTAGCTTACACATAGCTTGGTTAAATGGGTTGTTCCTTGATGCTTAAGACATAAAAGACCCATCCAATCTCCTAATTAAGCATCTAAGTCTTTAACTTATTTGACAAGTTTTCCTCGGTTGTCATGGACCGTTTCAAAGGTTCAACGCTTGATTTTTCCGTCTGTCCATACAGTTGCACGTTTCACCATCCTTTCAACGTAGGCTTTACATAATTTCACTGGTTGGAGTTCCTCATTGATCAACCAGTCAATTTACCATGAATTAAAAAAATTGAGTTGCTTCTTTACGGCCGTTTGAATTTTATTTCATGCAAAATTAACCAAGAACGATGTAGGCTCTACAGAGTGGTAGTCAAACCAACGATGTATGAGGCTGAGTGTGGCAGATCGCTCATGTCCAGAAGATGAAGGTATCAGAGATGAGGATGTTGAGATGGATGTGCGGGCATACCAGGTTAGATAGGATCAGAAATGAGGTTATTCGCGACAAGATGGGTGTGACCCTATTGAGGACAAGATGCGGGAAGCGCGGCTTAGGTGGTTTGGTCATGTAAAGAGGATGAGCACAGATGTCCCGATGAGGAGGTGTGAGAGGTTGACATTGGAGGGCCTAAGAAGAGGTAGAGGTAGGCCAAAGAAGAGGTGGGGAGAGGTGAGTAGGCAATACATGGCGTAACTTCAACTGACCGAGGACATGACCCTTGATAAGAAGGTATAAAGGTCGATGATTAGGGTAGTAGATTAGGTAGTCTAGAGTGTTTATAATAATAGTATTTGCACGCAGTCTCGCTTTCTGTTGGTAGTAGATTTTTATGACTAACCGTTGTTTTCTTTCATTGTTGATCACCTTACTATGTTGTTTTTATTCTGTTTCTATATAGCTTTTTGGTACTGTCTCTTCTTGTCTATATTTTCATTAATGCGATGCTTATGCTTTCTTGAGCCGAGGGTCTATTGGAAACAACCTCTCTATCCTCACAAGGTAGGGGTACGGTCTGTGTACACACTACCCTCTCCAAACCCCACGATATAGGATAATACTGGGTATGTTGTTGTTGTTGTTGTTGTTGATGTAGGCTCTCTGGCCTTGGCCTTAATAATACCAGAGCCCGGTTTGAAGCAAATACGTAGTAGTGTCAGTTTATGTTAACTGCTTCTATGGAATAAGTCAATGCGTTATAATTCGGGTTTTCTGTCATAAACCATTGTTGTCGTTCAAATGTCACATTTTGTTTGTCTTGTGATAAATAAAGTTGTTTTGCATGGACTGGTCTAAAGCCTGTTTCTGCCTTTGCAGTGCCATTAGCTCGGCCTCTTTTCCGCCCGAGGTCATAACATATGACCAGTGGATGCAACTAAAACCAGAATATAAAAACATGCTTTCTGGTTGGATTAAAGGTGCATTTCGTAGTGGGGAGAAGGAAATGCAGGAATCAATAAATGAGAAGCTTAACTTCGTTCTTAATACAGCTCCGACATCGGATAGGTCTGTTGTCTTGCGTATATTTTTGTTTGTTTTCATGTCTAAATTCGATGATGTTTTCAGGAATTGGAGGGAAACAGTTGGTCCAACTGTTTGTCCAGAAGTAATGTATTTCAATTGTTTCTGTAATTAAATTATTTGCATTGTGACAAACTGGGCAGATATTGAAGAATAGCATCTATCTAGAGGAAGCTGGCTGTTTAATCCACATGGTCATAGGAAGTCTATCTAGTGATGAAACCCACTATTTGGATTTTGGTGACAGAGTGCAGTTAGCATTTGGTAGCATTACTAGTCATTCAACATCCAAGATATGTCTTCCGTGTGATTGAGACTTGAGAGAGGAGGAATGTGAACTTCAAAGAAATGAAAGGCATTCAACAGAAGCACAGCAGCTTGATGTGGAAATAATTTCCCTTATATTCTGTTAAATGAAATTTGAACGTGGTATACTCTCAGTCAAGTTTAACCTTTTCGTTCTACGTTTACTAAAATTCTTCTGAATATATGCAGGTTAGAGCTTAAAGGTAATAAATGTCTCCATGGAGAGTTTCTGGAGTTCAAAGGAAAAAGAGAAGATGTTCAGGAAATGAGAAGTATCAGGAGATCAAAAGTTAGTGGATTAGAGATCCAGAAAACGAGCATGTTTGGTCTGGGTAAGGAAACTAAAATACTTTGTAGAAAGGAAATTCTGCTGGCCTGATTCAGTAGAAGGATTCCTTATAATATCTTCATTATGTTGGCTAGACATGTTCTGCATGGCAAATCGATCTTATACTTAGCTGAAATTCTAAATAAAGCATTGTTGCTTTTCGAGATGCAGCTCATTCAAAGCTCAAAGTTCTATAGTTTATCGGGGAGAAGGAGTATCGGCTTCTAAATGGAAGGAAGTCACTGTTCGATCCAGCACAGAAGTGAAATTTCAAACCCAAGGTTCAACTAAACCACGCAAATATAAGTTGTCCTCTGTCATTTCCATGTCACTGAGTGCCTGAGGTTAGCTGTCGTGAGTATAAATACTCATAATTCTCGAGATCATTGGCGAAGCCAGGAATTTTCGCAAGGGTGTTCAAGCTTGAAAGAAGTGAAAAATTCTCCAACAAAGGGTGTTCAGTATATGTTAATACACCTCTAAAAGCTAATATTTTATCTATATAAACAGTATAATTTATCAACGAAGGGTGGTCAATTGACCATCCTTCGGATATAGTAGCTTCGCCCTTGCTCGACATGGAGCAATGGTTTTATAAACGGTATAAACTATAGTTTATTTTTCCTTCCCATATTTTAAGCTGATATGCATATTAAGTCAACTGTTCATGTCCATTGAGAATGGCAATTTCATGATCCTCCATGTCAAAGTCAATGTGTAATGTCGCTATTGCGCCCATGCCATGAGGTCTTTTCCCATACGTGGTGTACTAACTCCAGAAAGTAATGGAAAGAGTGGAGCTTGGATGTGACAGCGGAGCAGTTACTATATAATAATAATTGGGTTTACATTAAATATTTATAGATATTTAGGTGATTTCTTAATACATATACAGGGTCTAAGCAAAAGTTATTGGGATTCTGTGAACCCATATGCTCTAGATCCGCCAATGAACGGATGTATTCCAGGTATAACTTATAGAACTTCCTTTTTGATGTAAATGCACTATCTAGCCTTCACTTGTTTTAATAGAATGTTGTAAGTGAATTGCGTGCCTATCATCATCCTTGCATGGCGGTCATTTTATTCTTCTCTGTATGATTCGATTTTGTTGGATGTCCCAAAGGGATGATTGCTGTTTAGTGTTTATAAAGGAAATTCCTTTTTTGTAGTTTGTCTCTTGCAATGACAGTAAACTAGTGCGACTGAACTCGGGATATTCTACAATAGTTTATTCACTTTGGGGAGGGTTATTCTCTTTATTTATTCAAAAAAATCCTTGTTTTTAATTCTGAAGGCAAAATAATTTTGTAAGTAAGAGCGTAATCTCTTTGAGGTGGAGATGCTGAGACTATAACGGATGCTTAGTAATGCTTGTCAGTGCAGCGGGACTAGGATTTAAAGGAAGTATGTTATGAAGATAATTCTTCTACCGTCTTATCCCTCAGGTGTTATGTCTTCAATCCTTCTCTATGTTAATCTAGCGTGCACCTGGGAAGGTGACTTGTGTCTCGCTCGATTTTTGCGTGTTAAAGAATTTGGTTCTTTAACTTAAAGATTTCAGTATCAACACGAAGTAAAGTGCATAAACTTAAAGATACAAATAATTTTATGTGAAAAACTTTCTTACTTAAGGGAGTAAAAATCACGACATACGCGAGTAGGATTTTTTCAAACTTCACTAAATAACAAGAGCGATTTTAGGTTACAACTCAATAATTAAGGGGACTATAAGCTCTAGTACCTTAATCCGCTACAATCAAGTCAATTATAGCTAATCCTTCTGGACTATAAACTCTAGCTTAGAACTTCAAAATGCATCTGTCAATTTTTTTTTCTATCAATACACTTCTCAAAAGCAGAGTAGGTTACACTTAAAGAACGACGACTCAAGACTTAACCAACTAAAGAACTAAACATCTTCGTCTTCTAACTAGGTTCTTCCGTTGAATAACTTGAATCTTTGAAAGCACCTTCTTACTATGATTGTTATTTATTTGCTGAGAGTGATTTGTTATGTGCCTATGTAAAAGTATCCAAGGCGATAGCAACAACATGATGCTTATATAGGCATGAAATAGATAGAAAATATTCTCCAAAATTTTGTCACGACCCAAAATCACTATCCGATTGTGAGGGTATCTAACTCACTTGCTAGGCAAGCCAAACATAACAATAGCGGAACAAGTTGTCAAAATTAACGGAATTAATACAAATCTAAAGCTAAATGTCATAAATAAACTGCGGCAATACATAAAATCTCCCAGAATTGGTAATACAAAGTCATGAGCTCTATAATAGAAGCATAAGTCTGAAAATACGAAATGAAAATACTGTCTGAATGGGAATAACAACTGAAATGGAAAGAGACGTCAAAGACTGCGGTCGGAATGTAGCTCTACCTCGTCTCTTAGCAACTCACAGCAAATCGCAATTGCTCTCGGTTAGGTCCAATACTGGATTTGTACAATTAAATGTAGAGTGTAGTATGAGTATAACCGACCCTATGTACTTAGCAAGTATCATAACTAACCTCAGCGAAGTAACAGTGGCAAGAATTATCAATAATACTCACTAATAACCTGCTCAGTTCATGAATTTCACAAGTACATAACAATAGTACCATCTAATCAAACAACACAAATAAAATCACCTCCGTGCACAAAGAGATAATGTGCAAGGCCCTGTATAAGTTAACAACCTAGCACATAGAGAAGATATGCACATATATGATCAAGTCTTATATACACAGATAGAAATATAGAGAAGATATGTATTGTGCTCTTGCTAATAGAACCAAACAACATATAGATAAGATATGCAGAACGAGGAATGCATACATTCTAAATCTAGCATATGGAGAAGATATGCGGATAAAACATGTATACATCCAAGGTATTTGCAAATAGAGAAGAGATGCAGTAACCAAACACTGATCAGTTTTCCTCATACCCCGTGTACACCATCAAAAGAGAAACATGAGAGGGTGAATGGTGACATCCAATTCCACTACTAAAAAGTAAATGGACACGACCGCATGCAATATAATATACCCAATTATGGGTAGGGGTTGAATCTCACAGAGAAAAATATGTAGGCGATTAGGCAATGTAAGAAAATTATCGCTTATTATACTAAGTCAAACACTTAAAAAGGTATTGAAAAATTATTTATGTCTAAATGCGAAAATGTAAACTAACCTAGAAAGCAAGTAAAATGATCAATGGTCGTAAGCATGGATGCAACTAAAATTATACTCAAGTAACGATCCAATGTATTTCATGATTTTACAAATATGAGCGAATTTATGTTAATTAGCCTCGGATATTAATTTTTTATTATCTTCTTCCAAGACTATCAATACTTCCTAATTGAATTATCCCTAAAATAATTAAGAGATTAAGAGCACCCAAAGTGGCTACAAGTAGTTCAATCCTATCCCTAGGTAGAATCTATAAAATGAGGGTTAACGCCTCAATTTCTTGTTAATTAATCTTTTTCAACTCCAAATTACCCTTTCCAAGATTAATTTGAAGTTAATGGGCGAGTTCTAGGGTTAGCTATTCCTTTTGGAAACAATACATCAACAACAACAACAGCAACAACCCAGTAAATTTCTACTAATGGGTTCTGGGGAGGGTAGTGTATACGCAGATCTTACCCCTACCTCGAAGGAGTAGAGAGGTTGTTTCCGAAAGACCCTCGGTTCAAAAAACAAAAGACAAAATGGGCAAAAAGGGAGACAATATTAGTATCACAACAACAATTATAGGATAAATAGAAACACCATGAAATCCAGAAGAAAGATGCAAAGTAAAGGGAGACAATATTAGTAAATATTAGTATCACCACAACAGTTATAAGAAAAATAGGAACATCATGAAATCTAGAAGAAAGATGTAAAGCAAAAGTGATAGCTAGTAAATAGGACCTGCACTGAAAAGCAAAATAGTAAGCCACAACATTTTCACTAGTTATCTTAGACAAAAACCCTACATGGCTAGTCCCACCATGTTACGAAGTAAGGCACGACTCAACTGCCTCCTAACCTAAAATCCTAATACTTGACCTCCACATCTTCCTATCAAGTGTCATATCCTCGAAAATCTGGAGCCTCGCCATATCCTTCCTGATCACCTCTCCCCAATACTTCTTAGTCTGCCCTCTACCTCTTCTCGTGCCCTCCGTAACCAGTTGCTCACACCTCCGTACCGAAGCATCTAGGCTTCTCCTCTGAACATGTCTGAACCATCTAAGCCTCGCTTCCCGCATCTTGTCATCAATGGGAGCCACATGCACCTTCTCCCGAATATCATCATTCCAGATGCGAACCTCCACTTCATCCATCCTACCCCAATATGGTGTGTGACATCCTCGTCGATCTCCCTCCCCCCTGGATAACAGAACCAAGGTACTTGAAGTTGCCTTTACTCGGGATGACCTGCAAATCAAGCCTCACATCCACGCCCACTTCCCCTGGCTCAGCGCTGAACTTACACTCCAGGTATTCCGTCTTCGTCCTGCTCAGCTTGAAACCCTTAGACTCAAGAGCCTGTCTCCAAACCTCCAGCCTCTCGTTAACACCGTCTCGCGACTCATCAATCAGAACTATGTCATCAGTGAATAGCATGCACCATGGCACATCCCCTTGAATATGGTGTGTTAACGCGTCTATCACTAGGGCGAATAAGAACGGACTGAGCGCAGAACCTTGGTGTAACCCCATTACAATAGGAAAATGCTCAGAGTCGCCTCCTACTGTCCTAACCCGAGTCTTAGACCCATCATACATGTCCTTAATCGCCATAATGTAGGGAACCGACACACCTTTTGCCTCTAGGCATCTCCCGAGAATTTCTCTAGGAACCTTGTCATACGCTTTCTCTAGGTCAATAAACACCATGTGCAGATCCTTCTTCCTCTCTCTGTATTGTTCCACCAACCTTCTAACAAGGTGTATAGCTTCTGTAGTCAAACGACGCAGCATGAACCCGAACTGGTTGTCGGATACAGACACTATCATCCTCACCCTCGCTTCAACCACCCTCTCCCACACTTTCATGGTATGACTCAGTAATTTGATAACCCTATAATTGTTACAACTCTGGATATCATCTTTGTTCTTATACAATGGAACTACCGTACTCCACCTCCACTCATCTGGCATCCTTTTCCCCTTAAAATTAATATTAAACAA